ACATCAGTGCACTCAGATACCCGCTGCAGATTCCCACCGCTGCTCTATCCACTCTTAGGACATCTGGAGCAGATCAAAATCACTGACTTCATTTTTACTAGAGTCGCTGCTAAAACCTTCGCTTATCCTTTCTACAAAGAGACCTTAGCCCATTCCTGAAGCATCAGCCTTTAGTTAAAATTCAGCCAAGCAGCGACCCCTATGTCTGAATTTGCATTTCTTATCGGACCCTTATCTCAGCTGATTTGTTATTAATTTAAAGAAAAAAAAAGAAAGAAAGAAATCTCTTGGCAGTGTATGCATCGCCTTGAGAAACTACAGCGATCACTATCTTATGCAAATTCATTGCGAGAAGCCCTCTTTTAAGTCAAGTCTATCTGCTTACTGATCTTTAAATTAAAGAAGTCTGACCATTTACGTCAATGTATTTTTAAACAGTGTGCAATTTATTTCAATCAATTACACCAGGCATAATCACACATTATTGGAACGCTGTTAGCAATTTGATGTGACTTTTTTTTTCTCTTAGGCGTGTTCATCAGATCTGTATAGCAAAAGGTGACTGTGTTTTTTCTGCTCATCCCTGCTTGTCATTTGCCACAGTCACAGTATGACTGACTGCTCTTGTCGCTAAAGTGTGTTTAGCTAATGAATTGGCAGACTTTTTAAGGGTCTGCGGGGCGTGCAACATATTAGACAATGGCTGTATGAAAATATGGATTTATCTTAATGTACAAAACGTACGTAAATGTCTACTGTGTTGTATTTCACCCAAAGCAATGGTCTCACAACATCGAAATTCCTCTAGGTGTTTCTCCCCTGACCTGCGGAAGGCCATTTCTTCTAACAATGCCCCCAGTTAATCACATATTAGTTACAGCACACTGCGGTAAAGTTTGCATTGGGGAAGGGAAGCGCTAGATGACCATGCTAAGCTCATTTCAACCTAAGTAGCTTAGTACACTGGTTCTGGTCCAGGCTTATTGCACAAAAAATAGGACAGATTTCGAAAAAAAAACGTGCAGTTTTTTTTTTTTTGCAGAAATGGCAACTGGGAAGACTGGGAATCGTGTACAAAAAACGGACAATTTCGGATGTAGAAGTAGTATAGGGGTTTTGCAATGTCCACATCTGAAAATTCACAAAACCGAGTATTAGCTTAGCCATCACCCTGAAAAGTTTGAAAGCTATTTTAGGAAAACTGACATTTTCAAAATGTCTACAGCCAGAAACGAAAATAATGCATGGCAACGCGGATTTGTAAAAGGACTTGTAAACTCCTTTTTTAATAAGTGTGTATGTTCCAGGAACATGTGCAGCCACCGGTTTTCTACTATTGCTGTAGTGTGGAGATCTGTTACACTGAAAGAGTTTATGTCCTTAAGCTTCTGGATGAACATTCCACCAACATCTGAGCACTAACAAGATTTCTGCAGCATCAATGGACTTATCCCACCTTTACTTACCTGTAACCTTGTAATGAGATCCTTCAGGTAGAAAAACACAGTTGTGATTTTCTGGGACAGTTCACCGTGTTAATCTGGGTACATTGAAGTGCCTGGTGGCACTGTGAGTGCTGAATGTGTAATAGGTGCAAACTATCCTTTGTGCACTGACACATCCCTAGAAGAATCTGACAAAGGATACTGAAAGAGGTTTGGGAATAAAAGGTTGACATACTATTTATATAGTTACTCTTGTGTACCTAAGTGTAGCAAGCTTTGTTTACATAAGCAATCATCTAAGTCTAGGCGCACCAACTAACTTATGCTCTACAAAAATGTCCCTAGGGTAATTGTATACGTTTTTAGAAATAGAAATCAAGAGCAAAACCTATATTGGACATTATTTAATTTGATACTGTATTCAACAAACAATGGTGCCTAGAGTTTTGAAATAAAGTATTACAATACCACATTAAAATCATGATTTATACACAGTTTAGAAAAATTAGTGCGGTGACCTAAGAAAAATAAATGTATTTAATTACAGGAGGAGTGAGGTTTTAAATAGATCATAAACAGGGTAGCATATAATATACGGCAGTGTAGATAGGTCAATCGATAGACAGATCTATTTACAGATGGATAGATTAGATAGATAGATAGATAGATAGATAGATAGATAGATAGATAGATAGATAGATAGATAGATAGATAGATAGATAGATAGATAGCACTCACTGAAGAAAGAAGCCTATAAAAAGTAACTGTAGAATTTTCAGTAACTGCAGTGTAGTCAGATGTGAACCCCTGGGGGGTTTTGGGGTTCCTCAGCTTTTGATCAACACACAATGCACGTGCAATGTTTGCTAAGAACTCTAAGCACTAATGAAATATAAATGCAAAATTAACAAACGCCAGAAGTGTTGACATGGGATGTAAATTTGTTTGACCAACTATGGCTAGATCTGTCCTCATTATTTGGGTTATTTATTATTATATTTAAACAATTCAACAATTCATAACACCTAAACAGAAAATGAAGCTTGTTACAGGACAGTGTCCTAAC